ATAGACACTCCTCAACTTAAAAGCATTCTGTGAGCAGCATCATAGAGAGAAGGCCATCCCGGGAGTCAAGAAGACCTTCTTTCTAATCTCTGCCCCTGACAGAGCAGCTGTGTAACTATAGGCAAATCACTTTGTGTCTCATTGTCCCAAATGACTCTGTAAAACCAGAAGACATAGATGACTTGCCACTCACAAATGGGAGAGAATTTCGACAAACTGATGAAATCACAGGCTTGGATGCAAAAAAGCAGGAAAAAAATCTTTTGTCAAGCACTTGTCACATGTTTGAAGCACTGTGCTATGCACTAGGGATATAAAATTGAGAAACGATAGTCTCTGCCCTCAGTGCATTCTGCTGGGGAGATTTGTCATGGGCACAAATATGTATGGGACAAGGAAGTATGTGAGAGGGGAAAGGGAAAAAATGAAGGCACAGTGTGTTCTGGGAAAATTGGAGTAAGGAGAGATTACTTTCAGCTTGGGGTTCAGATCAGGGAAAGCTTCATGGTGGAGGAGACAGCTAAGAAGGAAGGAAAGAATTTGAACAGGTCCTGAGAAGGGAGTGCATTGCAGGCATGACAGAACGGCCTACAGGAATCCATGGAGGCCAAAGAACAGCACTATTTCTATGGCAAAGTGCATTCCTAGGTCTATACAACGGAACTTTTGGAAAGCAACTCGTTAGTGCATTTGAATAAGCTTTTCTATAACCTTTAATTTGCACTTCATTCATTTGAGAGATATGATAATTCACAAGGTGTTTGGGTTGAAATTTACCTTTTCACTTTATATGGGGAAAGAGATTTTTTTTTTAGGCAATTGGGGTTAAGTGACTTGCCCAGGGTCACACAGCTATAAGTGTCAAGTGTTTGGTCTGAGGCCGGATTTGAACTCGGGTCCTCCTGACTTCAGGGCCGGTGCTCTATCCACTGTGCCACCTAGTTGCCCCGAAAGAGATTATTTTTAACAAAGAATAGTATAAACAATGCTCAGGGGCAATTTTTCTTTCTTAATATAAACTTTTTAAGAAATTTATTACACAGACACTATCCTCTATGTAACCATAGGTTAGCACTGTTTGGTTGGTATTTTGAATGACAAATCATTCTTGTCTCTTCATTACATAGACCCTCTGTGTAATACTTTGTCTAGTAAAAACAAAATGCCATTTTAAAAATTGACTTTTTGCCCAAGACAGCAAAATGTTATTGTATTTTTGGATTTGATCTTATTGTTCCTGATTTAAGACATGCAAACAGCTAATTCCTTCATATATGTCAAAATGCTAAGAATTCAGGAAGGGCAACTTCAGTTTTTCTGAATTCAAATGGATTTAGTAGATAATGCTATATTATAATAGCAAAGTTAAATTCTTTTAATTTTATAGTACCCAAATATGTCCTCAGTCCTCATTAAATATTTGTTGACTGATTGGAGAATAGTATTATCCTAGTAAGCTTCAAATCTCTGTTCTCCCTTTATTCAATTGTTTGGCCATTAAAAAACAGCGATAACTTTCTTAAAAATTGAACATGAATAGTAACCTCACAGAAGTGATAGAATAAAAGACTTTTACATCCATTTTTTCACATGTAATTTTCCTCACCTACTTCTTCATTCTCAATGGCAGGGAGAATGTAGAGTGTAGTGGGAAAGGTCTTGGCTTTGGACTCAGAGGCCCTAGGTTTGAATCCTTACTATCTATGTGTCCAACCATGTCACTTCGCTTCTCTGCCCCCTCAGGGATGAGGTTGGACTAGATGCCCAAGATCCCTTCTGACTCTAAATCTGTAATTGTGCAATGCCAAAATACATGGTGTAGACATCAAAGATTTTCATGGTTTTAGTTAGAAAGAATCTTTTTTCCCAGGAGATTTATTTCAATAATTCAAAGATCTGTGACTTTGCCATTGTAGCTGCTCCCTGCACCAATGCTGATCAGTGCTTGGATGACTTAGTAGATGATTTGTGAGAATTCCTACGACTAAGTAATTAACCATCCAGATGCCAGCTGGGGACAAGCTTCACTCCTGGGCTGGCCCTTGGATGGCACTTACACCACCTGTCACCTGCCTGGTGTTCTAAGCCTTTTCCAGTTTTGTAGCACTTTCCAGAATTTGTATTTCACTGGCAGAGCCTTTGAAAACCCAGGGTCACTTCCATGCCACGAAGCTTGAGAGTAGGACTTTCGTAGTCAGAAAGTATACAGAGATTATATTTTAAATACATCATCACTTAAACAATGAATAAAAATGGGATAAGGTGGAAATAGTACAAAGATCTTAGTTTATCAGGGAAGGTTTCTTGGAAAAAAACAGGGTACTGACTGACGGCACATTGAAAAATCCTTGAAAGTGGAAATCAAGTGAATCACGTAGATTTATCTGGCTGGACTAGAAGATATCGTCGTTACTTAGATGGTTGTGTTCAGGGATTTCCCCCAGAATCTATGCATAGCCAACTTTTATTGTCTTTTGGTTTATTTTACAGAGGTTTCTTATTTCCTAATACTAATATTAGATGCTAGTAACTAAATACAAAAGGAGAAGTCAATGCTGTAGAGTCATATCATGTCAGAGTTGGAAGGGGCCATAGAGATTATCTAGTGTCTAAGGTCATCACTTTACAGATAAGGAAACTAAGATTACAAAAGGATAAATTACTTGCAAGGTCATATGTCTAATAAGTGATAAAAGTGAAACTTGAAGTCAGGTTTTCTGAGTTAGAGCAGTGGTCTTTTCACTAGATCAAGTTCTTATCAGCCATTAGAAAAGGTGAAGATAGTAACTTTTCCTCTTTTCTTGCCCCCTCCCATCTCAGTAATAAATAAGGTTTGCTTGGTATATCAAAAAGATTTTTATTTTAAATTTTAATGTTTTACTTTTGATGAGTAGGGACTCTGTGATTTAAAACATGTCTTTTATAATTATTCTTTCTACCCTAATGTCCTGAAGATAAATTAAAAGTTAGTTTAGAATGTAAAATATAAGCCTAGGAATTTGTGGTATGGGTTTTCTTTCTTATTTTCATTCTTTTTCACTTGAGTAAAGCAGGCATTTCTTATGCAAGAAACAAAGAGAACCACAAATTAAATCACATAGTTAGGTACAGTATTCCTCACTCGTTGTAGCTATTGTAGTTTTCTATAATCCTTACTTTTTTCTAAGGAGAAATTAAAATAATGTGGTCCTGAGTAAGAAAAAACTAAATTCCTTAATCAATGCCAGTCTCAAGTGAGAGGCAGGTAATATTTTTTTTCCTCACTGATAGTGAAAATCTCTAGTCACTTTTTAGGACAGCTAGGTGGCCCAGGGTACCCAGCCTGGAGTTAGGAGGACCTGAGTTCAAATCTAGCCTCAGATGCTTACTAGCTATGTGACCCTGGGCAAGTCACTTAGCCCAGTTTGCCTCAGTTTCCTTATCTATAAAATGATCTGGAGAAGGAAATGGCAAATCACTCTAGTATCTCTACCAAGAAAACCCCAAATAGGATCATGAAGAGTCAGACATGACTGAACAACAGTTACTTTTTGGTTTTATTTATAATTTTTGTTTTTATTGATGGCTTTTATTCTTACATAAAGTTTATTTCAAATATATCCCTCTCCCCCCACTAATCAGTGCACCATCCTTTATAATAAGAGGGGGGGAAAGCAATTTAGCAAATTGACCGACAATAAATTAAATCTGACAATGTAAACAATGTTCTACATCTGCCGGCTCTGCAAAGAAATGGGAAGGGGGGGGGGGAACAAGCATTATTAAGTACCTGCTAATGTGTCAGGCACTGTGCTTAAATGCTTTATAATTTAATCCTCCCAACCCTGACAAACGAGTGTTGTTATCCCCACTGTATTGATGAGGAAACAGGCAAACAGAGGTTAAGTGAGTTTACCAGGGTCATCCATCTAAATGTCTAAGGCTGCATTTGAACTCAGGTCTTTCTGACTCCAAGCCTAGAGCTCTATCCACCGCACCACCAAACCTGCCTTTGAGTTTTCTCATCTCTTTTTCAAGGCTGACCTTGGTTGTATTATAATTACATAGTATTTTTTCATTTATATTGTTGTGGTCATTGTTGGTATTGCCTTCTTGCTTCTCCTCCTATCATCAGTTCATGCCTTCCTTCACCGCTTTTCTGAATTCATTATATTGTTCCTTACAGCACAGTGATATTCTGTGTATCCATTCCCTAGGTGATAGGCATGCATTGTTTTTTTTTTTTCCCCAGTTCTTTACTACCACAAAAAGTGCTATACAACATTTTTTTTCTTTCTTTGACCTCTGTTGTGTATATTTTTTAACAGTGGGATCTCTCAGTTAAAAGGTATGGATATAGTTGTTATTTTTAAAAGCACAATTCAAAATTGCTTTTCAGGATGGTATTTATTGTTTATTTTTATATTGAACATATTTCAAATTACTCTGTGATCTACTCATTCCTAATTGCTACTAAATTAAACAATGTTTATTTAACAGATGCATATTGAAGCCGCTAAGATGCTGTCTTTCACTGAAGAGGAATTTATGAAGGCACTTGAATGGGGAAATAAATAAATTTAATATACCTCAAATACTTCCCCCAAAAAATCTTCCCTACACAAAAATTCTGTGTGCCTGATAAATTGGAAGTATTTACTTTTTTTGTGAGTTTGAATATTAAAATATTTTCAGTAATCCAGTGGATTTTATGGGTGGACTATGTAAAAACTACATAATTTACATGCAGAAAATGATAGTTTCTGACATATAGAGAATTCTAAAGTTCCCTTAGATTTTAAGTTAGTTATGTGATTATTTTATACGAAAATTTACATAGCACAGAAAAGATTTCTCACTACATATACTTTAAGGATTGTGTTATTGCTCAAAGATGTAGAGATTTTATAGGCACAGTAGTTCATTTAGATACTTTCTATTCTTAAAGGTACTAGTAGTGATAGTTTTCTTTCAATATCTTGAATTTTAAATTATAATAGTTACAAGGAAGTTCAGCAATGTCTCCTTCAAAGCTAGTCCATCATCAAATTACAGCACTTATTTAAATTTCTAAGTTATTTTAACATCCCAATAAAAATACAAATTTCTTATGTTAATATAATGGGGAGAACCTCTCATCAGTCTGATGAGTTCTACTAGTTAATTTGAGATTATAGAACAAAGGCCTTTGTCAGAAGGGAGGAACACCTTCCATGGAGCCAGACTTGGACCATAGCCCTTTAGGGAAAGGACACAGGGAATTCCACTGATTGGTCCCCAGTCACTGGGACTGCCTCTTGATGGTTGTCTAAGGTTCAAGCGAATAGACTTTTTTCACAGGAACTGCCTTTCCTGTGGTCTTTTAAGAGTGAAATATAGACTGGGCCACCCCCAAGTCCCTTTTTCATGCAATTTCTCTCCTTGGACTTTCAGACCAGAATATAGTGGAGGAGGGAATTTCTTCTCCTCTCTCTTTCTTACCCCCCAACAATGTCAACCCATAGCAGAAGAACATGGCAGTGAGAGCTAGATGTGTTTGCTGCACTCAGTGTAAGAGTAAAGATCCCTGAATGCCAACCTACCTCGTAGAGGATTTTTAATTCCCCAGGCAGCAATCCAGAGAAAGTAGAGTTCCTGAGAAGCAACAGGTTTGACAGTTTCACATACAGCCTCAAGTTCAAGAGTTTATGAGTTCTAGAATTAATGAGTTGAGTGGCAGGTACCCAGAGAAATAGTTCCATAATGTCACCCTTTTCTGTTGGTTCATTCTGGAGTAGGGTTAGAAACAAAAGGAGAATGTGAAGCCTCTGTGGTTAGGCTCCCCCAGATTGAACACAGTTCATGTGAATCTGTAGCCCTGGGCTACAGGTGACATTTACATAGTTAACTACTCCTCAGGAATTGCAGGTTATCTGGGGGAAATCTGATGAAATCATGAACTCATGAGGAACTCCAGTTTGAAACACATCACCCAGCAAGATAGCTTTTAAAGCAAATAAGTCACAAATATTTGTTTATTGGTAATAATGTAAGGACAACACTAACCTAAAAATAATAGGTTGAATAATGAAGAGGGTGAGAGATAAAGTAAATCCATAAATTTCTATACAGAAATAACAAAAACCATGATATGTGAGATACCATCCCCCAAAACCTACAAAATATATAAAATATCTGGTAGTCAATCTACTAAGACACTCAAGACAAATACAAGTAAAACACTTCATAGAAACAAAGGAAGATACATAATGGGTAGAATTTTAATTGATCATGGTTAGACTGTAATAATATAACTGATGAAGCTACTTAAGTTAATTTGCAAAATTTAGAATTATATCAGTCTACTAAGGGTGTACTTTGTAATCAGACAAAATAATAAAATTCACCTTGAGAAAACAAAAAGTACTGAATTGAAAGGGAAATAATGAAAATAAAGTGAAATAGTACGTGTCAAGACCTCAAACTATTATTATAAATAAGTAATCATAAGAATGATTTGCTACTGGTTAAAGAAAACCAGAAAATTAGATCTATTGAACACATAAGCTAAGTAAGGATCAGAAACAATTTCTTTAGCCCCATGTTTGATAATCCCAAAAGCATAAACTACTTAAAAGACTGAAGTTCTGGAAAAATTGGAAAGCAGTTTTGAACAAAAGAGGTTTAGTGCAGCATTTTAATTCACATAACACATTCCAAATGGATATGTAAACTAAATACGAAAGGTCATGTCTTTAAAAAAAAAAATGGAAGGACCTTCACTTGGCCATAACCATGTCTGAAGAAGTCAACCAAATATGGGCTGAGGTCATCATAAAAGATGAGATAATTCTGGTTATATGTGTAAAGGTAAAGCTCTACCCCCTACCCCAATTAATCTCAAAAGATCCAGATACCTTTACTGAATTAATCAAAAACGTAGACTAGGTGTAAATATGTCCTAAATTTGAAAGAATTAAAGTGCTTAAATCGATGTATGAAAACAGATGGTGCCACACAGGAAACATCTTGTGATTGTCAAAAAGAATAGAAATGCTCCTTATTTTATTTACAAAGACTTCAAGTCCAATGGTAATCCAGTTAAGCAGTAGAGGTACCTTAAAGGTACCTGGAGGTATCTTAAAGAGGCAGTTCATTTTGCCTATACCAGAGGGCCCCAAGAGGGTGGGAGAGGGAGTCCCGGAGAGAGGGTAATATGTCACCCCCCTCACTCCACAATCACCACCATGGACCATGTTATTGGAAAGAGACCAAATAAGAGATAATGTATCCAATATGGCACAGACACACACACACACATACTGAAGACAGAGATGGACAAACAGATAGAAAGATAGCCACCTGAGGGAAGAAGTAGCTTCATGAAAGTATGTGACCCCTTGGGGTGCACCAAACTTTGAAGGCCAGCAGAGTTACACCTATGGGGAACTTCGTTAAGGGCTACCCAAAGGAAATAAAGGGCTGCTAGTAACAAGGAGCTGAATTTATCCTTTGGTCATATGTGTTCCCTACATTTGTGCCACACCCTTATATCAAAACTGAGCCCTTATTCCCCAGGGATATTTTTATGTGAAAGATTTTGGGGGGATATTTTGTACCAACTGTTTTTACTTGATTACCTTGGCAAAAATATTTTTTCCTAAAAGCTAATTGAGGCTGATATGAAATGGAAAGCACACCATCTGAAGGCTCATGTGTAACAGTGCTAGACCTCAGCCCCTCTGGGTTAGTCCCAGAACCTTCTTCTAGGGCACCACTGTTTCAAGTGGAGTTAGGGGAGCAGCTCCAGAGGGGTTGCTCTACATGAAAATTTAAAACTTGCAAAAATTAAATCAATGCAGCCAGGATAAGAAAGGAAACCTTCATAACTGAGGCGGGGCAGGGATACTGATTGCCAAGGTTATTTAGGAAAGTGGTAAAAATACATGACCCAGAACCAATAGATAAGTGGTTAAAAGATATGAATAAATGAACACTTGCACTAAGCACCAGGGATACAAAAATAAGCAAAATGGTCCCTACCCTCAAAGAATTTATATTCTAATAGGGGAACACAGCATGTATAGGGGAATGGTGGCCAAGGAGAGTGTTTTGGTCAGGGAAATCACAGGGATAGTGCCTGAAGTCATAAGGTGATTATTGACATGTCCTTTCCAGGAATAGTTGAGTTGATTTTTGTTCTCAGCTAGAGCACTGGAAATGAAGAGAGAGGAAAGAGGTTGGTAGGAATGGTGCTGGCTGTGGATGGGGCACTGGGAGTGCTGTTCAGGAATGAAGGGCTGCATGTCTGTATGCTGTGGAGGCCAGTCACAGTTACTGATTGGGAATCAGTGCCTATACAGATGCTTATACTAGCTTCTCACTGGTCATTGTGAATAAATGGAGCCCTTGGAGGTGTCTGTAGTTAATATTAAACAATATTGGGTTAGGAAGGTAAAAGGCCTTTCATTTTTACTAACAAAAATGAAGAAGGCTGGAATACTTGGTTATACAAATTCCTCTTACGAAATGGCCAGTGAAGGATATGGTATCTGGCAACTGACAGTAGATTATCAGGAGAATAAAGATGTTATGTGCATTACTGTAATAATTCCTGACCTTGTCATTATGAAGGATGAAGTATCACAGGCCCCGGGCATCAGAAGGTAGCTAGATTAAATGACTATTAGGCTTTTGGAGCTGTAAACTCTCTGACACAGCCACTCACTATTCTACTTTTGAAAAAAAAGTTGCTTGCCTGTTTGGGAACCTTGGTTGCTACTGAGTGGCCAAGTGTCCTGAGTCATACCATACCTTTTTCCAGAGTCATATATTACCTTTTGTCCAGAGTTGCTTAATATAAGTTGGGTGATGAAGGTGGTTCCTTAATTAGTAAGGGACCAGAGGTTTCCATCATTAAGTATAAATGGCACCTCTATCAGTCCCCTGAGGTGTTGTGTGATTTAAGAGTGGGTTGTATTATTGCCAGAGGCAATGTTTTGCCTCCATGTTTAGTCCAGTGTGCCCTAGTCTTCACAGACCTAACCTTAGAGGAATGTTGTTTTGTTCCTAATCGATAGTAGTAGCCAGAGTTTGCAACCTGCAGGTACAGGGTCACCTCCATAACTAAGATGAGGCATCAGATAATGTTCCTTTGTATAGCCACATAATAATCAGGTATAGACAAGCAAGATGGCAACGATGCTTAGCTGAAATGTTTTAACATTTCATTTTTGGTTCACAGTTGGATTTATCCACAGGAAAACATTAAAATTTTAATTAATATGCTTTTTAATATAATTACAAGTAAATATTTTATGAAAAACAGTCTACTGAATTGCGAGAATAAATTCTGCCTAAATCAGATAAGTGACAGTTTTTACTTTATTTTGGTTAGAAGACATTTAAGAAAATAAAAATACTTTATCAATGAATTTGTTTTTCATGAACATGTATTCCCTTTCCTTCCCCATGAATATTGACTGTATCTTAGTTGAACTAGTTTATTCCTTATTAGAGATTACTTGTGAATTTAAAAAGCAACTGCGCTGAGTTTCCAAGTGTTTTGTTAATTATTACATAAAAATAAAAGTCTTGTAAATGAGATGTTTAATATAATCCTTTTTTCAATAATTTATTGACAAAGAAGACAAAACTGTATTCTCTTACAGACTGGCTGTATGGAAATTGTCAGCTACTATAATGGTTTAAAAAATCCAAATGTTTGAAGGATTCTTACCAAGATAATGACTGTCAAACTGATAGAGAAATCAGGCTGACATCTAGTGGTGATATAAAGCAATCCAATTCTTGATGACATTAGCTGTCTCCTAATGGTGTGTCACTTTTCAGATATGCTTTCCTAAATGCTTCACCAAGCATATCAACATCCTTCTCATGTTTAATTACTCCCTAAAAGGAAAACACTTTGTTATTTTTGGGTACCAGAATATTTCACTAAATGTATAGATTTATGAACAAACTGACTTTTAGAACTAAAAATCCTATAGAGATCATTTAGTCCAAATCCTTCATTTGACAGATGAAGAAACTGAGATCCAAAGAGGCAAGTTAAGTGACTTGTCCAAGGTATATCCAATATCAAAGTAATCTACTCAGCAAAATTATGAATTTATGGAATTAATCAGTCAAGAAATGGATATCTGAAGTTTACACTGAATTTCCTAATTTAACAATACAAACGAGGAACTGCCAAGCCAAGGCTCTTGTAAAGAGAAGCTAGTCCCTTCTCCTTCCCCTTTCCCCACTCCCTCTACTACCACACCGTAGGTACGTTACCTAGTTCTACCTTTATATTAGTGGGATCTTTTGCATCCTTCCTCACTCCCCCTAAAATGCTGACAGAGTGTTGACACGAGACAGGGGAGGGCAATTTGAACCTTGAAAGTTTCAAGGATTCTGGTTCTCCTTGCCTCACTTACATGAGTAATCATGGAACATACTACTAAAAGGACATTTATACAGAAATGGGGCTAAGGAAATTGATCCCTCCATTTTGGTTTCCAAGATACCTCAATCCTAATAAAAGGACTGGGAGAGAAGAAGTACCTGGTTCCTCTTCCTTGGCTTATTCTACAAGTTTCTCTACTGCCTACTGGTTGAATAATCCCTTTTCTGTCTACTGTCAACATGCCATTTACAATGTGTCCTCATAGTTTTCCAATCCCATTAATACAGAACCTGTATCACTTATTCTTTTTTTTTTCTTTTTCTTTTTAGTTAGGCAATCAGGGTTAAGTGATTTGCCCAGGGTCACATAGCTAGTAAGTGTCAAGTGTCTGAGGCTGGATTTGAACTTGAGTCCTCCTGACTCCAAGGCTGGAGCTCTATCCACTGCACTACCTAGCTGTCCCTATATCACTTATTCTGATGAACCCTGCTTCTCCCCAGGTCCATATGAACCTCACTTGACATTCTTCTAAGCCCATTCTACTTTGCCTTTTGAAAATTCTTTAAAAAGAGAACAACCCCCCAAAAAAACACACATATCCTTGGAATTTTCCTTCTTCCAGTCTGTTTGCTTTAACTAAAACTCACAACCCTCTCTATTGGAGGCCACTCTCACCTATGGAGCCAGGAAGCAGGATTGTTTCTTGAAAACCTGGGTAACCCACTTAAACCATTCTTATTCTTCTTCTTATTGTTGTCAATAGTGAACTCTATGTTACTCTTCCAAATTTTTCAGACTTTAGTACGTGGTTTACTGTTTTCACCTCTGCCTCATTCCCTGCTGTTTTAGAGATTTAGATATTCCTTTTTTTTTTTTTTTTAAAGGCAATTGGGGTTAAGTGACTTGCTCAGGGTCACACAGCTAGTAAGTGTCAAGTGTTTGGTCTGAGGCTAGATTTGAGCTCAGGTCCTCCTGACTTCAGGGCCGGTGCTCTACCCACTGTGCCACCTAGCTGCCCCAGAGTTAGATACTCTTGATGACCCCTCCCAGCATCCTCATCACACATTTCCTCCACCTCCTCCTCCACTCCAGTGGCTTAATCACACACAACTACAATTATACCTTGGATATCTCACCACTTCACAGAATTGTACTATATTCCCCGCAAGATCCTGACCTTCGAAATGTTCTTCTCTACCCACAACTTCCTATTCTTCTGCTCCTTCAACTCCCCTCATTCATGAGAAACTTGCTCTTCGTACTGATTATGATTTTTAGTTCCTTGAACCCCTCCTGATTCTTCCAGTTCATTAACCCTCTCTAGTTTTAACTGTCTTCACACACTTAGCTAATGTTTTGGCTGTTTGCAAGAGATGAGATCATGCGGGAGGGTGGATGGAAAGTGACAGTGATGCAAAAAAGGCATTATCAATAAGACTTTTCTTAATTAAAAGACTGATTTGGGAGCCACTACCTAAAGTCCTTACCCACTTTACACTTTCCATCATTTTCCATCTGCTCATTAATTCTTAACTTGTGGTAACCTTCACCATCTAATTCATGGATTCCTGTTTCTAGGCTGCTGAGTAGCTACAAAATTAAGGTGGCACAGGGCAGGTAGGTGGTACAGTAGATAGAGTTCCAGGTCTGAAGTCAGGAAGACTCATCTTCCTGAGTTCAAATTTGGCCTCAGACATTTACTAGCTATGTTACCCTGGGCAAGTCACTGAACCCTGTCTGCCTAAAGTTTCCTTATTTGTAAAATGGGTTGGAGAAGGAAATAGCAAACCACTCTAGTATCTCTGCCAATAAAACCCCAAGTGTGGTCATGAAGAGTCAGCCATGACTGAACAACAACAACAAATCTAATATAAACTTATTGTGTATTGGCAATACTTTTATTCTCCTCATAAATTCCCTCTTTCACTCTCCACAAAAACTGCTCAAACCTTTTTCAAAGGTCCAGGTGCCCCCACATATACTGTAGGCAATTGCCTCCAACTTTCCTGAGAAGATAAAGTCCGTCCAAAGGAGCTCTCTCAGCTCCCTTTTCCCACCTCAAACTTCTCAGTATGTATCATTACCCATTCTCTCCTCCTTTCCAGGGGAATTGGGAGGCTGTGCTTACTGCTGAGTCTAATGCCCTTTATTTGTGCCTTAGATTCTCATCCCTCCCCTCCCCCAGACCCCCAATCCCATCAAGCACTGCTGGTCTGTCATTCAACTTCAATCTGTTTCTCCCAGCTTGTTCTCATCTGCTTTAAAAACAAATAGTCAGGTCTACCTACCCCTAAAAAAACAAACTGAAGTTCTCCCTTAAAGCTTCTTCCTTCATTCTAGCTATTCTATCTCTATTCTCCCTTTCCTAGTTAAACTTCTTGGAAAAGCAGTTTGCCCACTCACTCTCCACCTACTCTCCCCTGAGCCCTTCTATATCCACCTGAAACTATCATCCTAAAGCTCACCAGTGCCAAATTCATTGGCCTTTTTTTCATCCTTACCTTCCCGGACCTTGATCTAGCATTTGTTACAAATAATCATTCTTCCCCTCTCTGTCTGACCATTCTCACTGCCCCCCTTTTCTGTGACACCATAGTTCACTTCTTAGTCCTCTAACCATTCTCTCTCATTAAATGTTCCCCAAGGTCCATTCTTAGCCTTTTTTTCTCTCTTCTTGGTGATGTTAGTGTTTACCTTGGCTTCAATAATGAACTCTCCACAGATGACTCCCAAATTCATATCTCTAAGCCCTAACCTCTTTTTAAACTCTAAATCTTGCTGTTTCAGTCGTGGTCAACATTTCATGACCCCATATGGGGATTCCTTGTCCAGGATACTGGAGTGGTTTGCCATTTCCTTCTCCAGATCATTTTATAGAAGAGGAAACTGAAGCAAAAACAAGGTTAAGTGACTTGCCCAGAGCCACACAGGTAATAAGTGTCTTAGGCTGGATATGAACTCAGGTCTTCCTGACTACAGGCTTCAGTGCTCTATCCACTGTACCACCTACTTGCACCAAATTCTAAATCTGTATGGTATCTATGGTGCATCTCTACCTGGAAGACCTGCCAACACCTCAAATGTCTAAAATCAAGCTTGTACTTTTTCCTTTTAAACACGTTCTCCTTTCTGACTTTGCTTTCTCTCAGTGGTACATACTACCATTCATCTAGTCTTTAGGTTCAAAGCCTTGGTGTTATCTTTGACTCCTTCTACTCTCTCTCAGTTATCTGGGCTTGTTGGTTTTACCTCTGTGACATTTCTCACATCCAAATCCTCCTCTCCATTCCCACTACCACTCTTCTAGTATAGGACTTCCTATCATCATTAGACTAGACTATTCAATAGCCTAATGGGTCTTGCCTCTCCCCTCTCCATCCCAATCCATTTTAATAACTCTGCCACAGTTGGTCTTCACTGTCTATAGATCTAGTTATAGCACTCCTATGCTCAATAAACTTCCTTATCTTTTCAATCTTATCTTCAAAGACTTCTCCCCTCTAGCTAAAATGCATTTTCCTGGGGCAGCTAGGTGGGGCAGCTAGGTGGCACAGTAGATAGAGCACCGGCCCTGAAATCAGAAGGACCTGAGTTCAAATTCGGCCTCAGACCAAACACTTGACACTTACTAGCTGTGTGACCCCTGGGCAAGTCACTTAACCGCAACTGCCTAAAAAAAAAAATGCATTTTCCTGCCTCCATGTATTTATTCATGCCATTTCCTATGTTTAAAATGCCCACACTACCCTCCTCCCCAACCTCAGCCTGCTGAATTCCTATCCATCTTTTAAAGCTCAATTCACATGCTATTTCCTTTATGAAACCATCTCTAATCCCTCTGGTGGGTTATTACTTTTTCCCCTGGGGTTCACATAGCATTCAATCTCTGTCTACACCCTTCTTAAGCATTAATTAGACATTATAACAGTAAATGTGTCCCAATCATTAGATACTGTAACAGTGTATGTTCTAGCCTAGACTGTAAGTGCCATGACAGCAAGAACCAACTTATTTACACTTTGTATTTTCCCTGGAACTTAGCACAGTGGTCTGTGAACAGTAAGGATAATTGGATTGAATCACTCCAGCCATCATCAATTTCTTAAACTCTCATGTCACTTAGCTTTTTTCATATAATTTATCACTTAATCATATGTTTAGTTATAATGTGAGCTAATTGTTTAATGTACTTTAAATCACTTTCTTCTCAATTAGACTTCAATTTCTTTAAAAGGGCCATGTTTTATATTTCTGTATCCCTCACAGTATCAAATACAGTGCTGAGCATATTACATATAAGCTGTAAAAACTGGCAATACAATGAATTTTAATTTTTAAAAAGTAATTTTATGTACTTGTAGTATATTGTAACTGATTTTACGTGTGGTTTATGAAAATCCATTTCATTGCCTTATAGTCACAATATATACATATGTGTATATATATAGACATAAAGAGTATTTAATTAAACAACTTTTAAAAATTAAGGTAAGTGGGTCCCCAGCTATAACATAACTCACTAAAGCTCATCTGTTTTTTTCATAAGGCAGGTCTATTTCATAGTCATTCTGGGTGCTTATTATTAGAAGTACCAGAAGGACATATAACACGATTCTTTGGCACATATAGAATTGTAATATGTGCCTCAAGTGTAATTTAATTATAGATGCAATCTGTTGAAAGAGAAGCATGACTGTAATCATATAGTTTGGAAACGATTTTGGAGGTCATCTACTCTAATCCTCTCATTTCAGAAATGAGTAAATGAAGGCCTGGAGAGGCTAAGGTCGCACACTCATTAGTGGCCAGAATACAGACGTGTTCCAGGCTGAGTTCGATGAGTTACCTGGTCTCCTGACTCCCAGTTCAGTGTTCTTTTTCCTATACCTCTCTGCCTCCAAAATGACATACTCATTTACCTTTACGTAAATTTCACTTACTTTGGGAAGATAGCCCAGTAGATTTGCAGCATGCTCTTTGAGAAGTTTTTGTCGTTCTTCTTCGATAATTGCATTAATACCACCTTCTCTTTGCTGCTGTAACCTGATTTCTTCAAATTCACGTTCCTGGAAATGCAATCAGTTTTTGCTATTCTCTCTGAGGTAAATGTTTTAAAATTTTTTTAATTAATTAATTTTTAATTTTCAACATTCACTTCCACAAGATTTTGAGTTCCAAATTTTCTCCCCATCTCTCCCCTCACCCCACCCCAAGACAGCGTGCATTCTGACTATTCCTTCCCCCAGTCTACCCTCCCTTCTATCATCCCCTTCCCCTTCTATTTTCCTGTAGGGCAGGATAGATTTCTATACCCCATTTATCAGCAAAGTCAGAAAGGAGAACGTGTTTAAAAGGAAAAAGTACAAGCTTGATTTTAGACATTTGAGGTGTTGGCGGGTCTTCCAGGTAGAGATGCACCATAGATACCATACAGATTTAGAATTTGGTGCAAGTAGGTGGTACAGTGGATAGAGCACTGAAGCCTGTAGTCAGGAAGACCTGAGTATCTTATTTCCCAGTTACATGTGAAAACAATTTTTAACATTTGTTTTTAAAACTTTGAGTTCCAAATTCTCTCCCTTCCTCCCTCCCTCCTCACCCACCCTCATTGAGAAGGCAAGCAATTCAATATATGACTACGTGTATAGTCATGCGAAACACTTCCATAATAGTCATATTGTGAAAAACTATTTCTCTCCATCCTATCCCACCCTCTGTTTTTTTCTATTCTCTCCTGTGACCCTGTTCTTTAAGGTAAAATTTTTTTTAACGTGTTTATGTTTTGTTTTACATCACCATTTCTGAATATCTCTTTCTCTCTACCTCCACCTAGTAAACCATCCCTTACTAGAAAGAATTTTTTAAAAAAGGCAGTCAGTTCAGCAAAACTGACCAGAACATCAATCAAGTGTGACAGCAAACTCTACTCTTAGGGTCAGCCTCCACCTCTGCAAAGAAGGGAGAAAGCTTGATCGTTACACGTTATACAACTCTCAAGGTTTTTCAGTTCTTTCCATGTACTTTGTAGTAGTTACTGTGTATCTTATTTTCCTGGTTTTGCTTACTCTACTTTCATCAGTTTTTGTGTCTTCTCATGCTTCTCTGAATCTCCACAATCATCGCTTCTCACAGCATAGTATATATTCATTATATTTATATAATGTGATTTGTTTAGCAGTTCTTCAACTGATGTGCATCTACTTTGTTTCTAATTCTTTGCTATCATAAAAAGTATTGCTATGAATATTTTGGTGTACATGAGACCTATCTTTAACTTTTTTGGGTAATGTGTCTGGAAGTGAGATTTTTGGGTCAAAGGATAAGGATATTTTAATCACTTTTTAAAAACATAATTGCTAACTGCATTCCAGAATGGTTGCACTGATGCACTGTTTCACCAATGGTGTATAGTGCGCCTGCTTTTCAAATTGCTTCCAACACTGAACTTACATCTTTTGTCATATTTGCCAGTGTGCTGGGCATAAGATGAAAGTTGAGAGTTGTGTTTCTTGTTACTAGAGATAATTAGCAATATTTTATATGACTGTAAATAATTTTCAATTTTTCTTTCGTGAATTGCTTATATTCTTTGACTACTTATCTAACGAGGAATAACTCTTAGTTTTATATATTTGCATTAGTTTCCTATATATCATGGATACCACACCCTTACGAGAGATATTGATGCAAAGGTTTTGTTGCCCCAAGTGACAGCTCCTCTTCTTACCTGAGCTTCACTGACTTTATTTATGCAAAAGCTTTTCAATTTCATGCAATCAAAATAACCTATTTTGACTTTTAAGATCACTTCTTAAGATCACTTCCTTGTTTGGTTAAGAACTTCTTCCCCAGGCAATAATTATGAAAGGTATCCGATCTTGTTTTCTTCTAAATTTTTTAAGGTATGACCTTTAATATTCAGATCACTTGCCCATTTTGTGCTTGTTATGGTATATGTGATGGAAAATGCTGGTCTAAATCTAACTTCTGTCAGACTTCTTTCCAGTTTTCCTGGCAGAATTCAAACCCAAGTCTTACAATTTTAAATCTAGTACTTTTTTGATAACCCTATGCTGCCTCCAAGCCTCCAGCTCCAGCCAAGCCAGGCTCCAAAGACGACAAGCTCAAGTCTACCTCTGAATCTTTGCTCATGTGTTTGTCTCCTCGTCCCTACTCTACAATCATCTAAATCCTAACCACCATTCAAGGATAATGAAAATTCTACCTGCACCAAGAAAATTTCCCTAACCCATCTGCTCACTTGTATCTTTTTCTTCTCTGAATTCAGATAGCATCCACCCTACCACTAATTTTAGTACTTAAGCATGCTCATTTTGTTTTATATTTTAGTATTACAGTTTCTGTGTTGGCCTTTTCTATTCAATAAGATTGCAAGCTCTTTGAGAACAAGAAAAGGGTCTTATACATGTCTTATACTTGGTTAGTACCACACACACCTCACCCCTGACCTCCCCAGAGACCAGCAGAGACCACTAGTAAGTCTGAGTGACTTGCTGGACAAATATTGGTTGAAGAAAAGGCATCAGAAAGGCACCAGGCAAGTAGGTAACATTCTCTATGGAGTCCATCTGCCTGTATGAGCTCAGTTTCCTAAAGAAGAATAACTGGAGCCCAAAGTCCAAGGATGGGACCATGTTCAGCAGATAAGCTCTGAAACAATGAAAAGGCAATGTGTCCACTCCAATAATCTATAATAATTCCTGTATCCCTTTCTTAGGGAAATTGCAGATCCTATCCTTATTGTAGTATAATTTGGATACCCACCCCCCAGATTTAATAAAAAAAAAATCAAAGAATTTTAGGACTAGAGAGTACTTCACTGGCTATCTCATACCAATTATACCTCACTTTCTACAACATCCCCAGCCTCATCCTCATACATTTAAGCTCATGTGCTATTTATCTGTTCACTCACATAGTCTTGTGAGAGCTTACTCTAGTTTATTACCATCAGTTTGGCATTTCACTATCCCAAAGGGCTAAGTGTCACCTGCAAGCTTAAGATGCTTAGTCTGCCCATCCTTTTAAAAAGGTATCAAAATGCCAAATTATACCAGTCCCAGCACTGAGCCCCAGGTACTATCCTGTCTTTATATAGATAAGTAAATATTTACTCCTAGATTTGCTTTCTATCTTAATCCTTTTCTTGATCCAAGAATAAATATTCTTCCTAAATCCATGCCACTATTACTTTAAAAATAATGTGGGAGGTTTTTTTTTTTCATTTCTACTTTGTTTCATCCACATTGGGAGTACAAAGTTTGGTAGGGTGCTCTCAATGTAGGTGAAAAGAAAGTAAATGGAGAGTTGAGCAATTTTGTGGAGTTTAGGACTGACTGTTCTAACAACCCATCTTTTTACAAGCCTCTCATTTCCCCGGATACCATATAAACCTTCATAATAAAAAGTACAGGCAAGGGAAGGTTGAGCTAAAAAGATACTCGTGTGGTTTGAGTGAGATAATGATACATACAAATGCTATAGGAAATGGTAGTAGCCTATTTTATTACTTTGAGATCATTTTTTCTTTCTCACTTAATCTGTGGGAGTATGTATTATCTAAATGTATCATAAGTGGAACAGACATAACCTCCTCTTCCCTTATTTCCTTATTTAATACTGATGACAAGACAGCGAGACCAGAAAGAACAGCATGCCTACCTTGTCTGCAAGGAACTGTTCCCGACGTTCTTGAATAAGTTTTTCTGTAGCTTTCCTGTGTTCGTACTGCTTCAGCCTTTGTTTGCGAGCATTCATTAATTCAATCCGGTCATCCTCAGCAAACTTCGCCATCGCATTCTGTCTGAAGACTTCTTCTTCCTCCCTGGCAGCCTGAAGGACCAACTCTTTGAAAGCTGTTTGTTCGGCAAAATTTCTTTGCAGCTCTTCACGCTTTTTGATTTTGTTTTCGATTTCTTCCTAAAAGAAGACAGTAAGAGTAACATTAAAAGCTTAATTCCACAACTTTAAAAAATATGACTTGCAAATGGAAGTTTTCAGCTCAGTATATAATAGCAAACTGAAATCAAGCACTCTGGGAAAAAAACATGGCTATTTAATGCATCGTATCTTTTAATGCATAATATCGGGCCTATCTGAGGGAACATAAATGTTTTCTTTAATTTCCCTGGTATTTATTTAAAAATTCTAATTTTGTTTATTTGCCCTGAGCCTATGAAGGGCAGCCTTCTAGAGAACTAACATATAAACAACAATTTCATACAAGTTTCAAGCACCTTCATAATCTTCCCCTACTCTAGCCAACCTTTTTTCCCCACTGTACCTGAACATGAACCTTCTGCTAATAATAATAATATTAGCTAGCATTTATATAACACTTTAAAGTGTGCAAAGCAATTTACAAATATGCCCTTTTATCCTCACAACAACCCTAGGTCAGTGTTAGCATTATTCCAATTTTACAGATAAGGCATAGAAAGGTTAAGCAACTTGCTCAGTGTAACACAGTATCTTAGGCTGATTTTGAACTCAGGCCTACCTGATGCCAGGTCCAGTTCTCTACTTCAGGCTCTGCTCTAGCCATAAGAGTCTTTTTAATAGTCTCAAACACACTATGTTAAATTCCTACCTCAACACCTTTTTACAAGTTGTTTTCCCCTGCCGGCAATGTTCTTTCCACACCTTTTCACCTAATCAAATGCTACTCACCCTTCGGGTCCCTTTCAAATGATAATCTCTCTATGACTCCTTCTCCTATAACTTGAGCCCACACTACGGATCTTTTCCTCTTCTGAAATAATTTGTGTCACTGATTTGTGGATTTATGCATATATATGTTGCTTTGTTTTGTTATTTAACCATTTTATATATGACTATCTTCTCTGTCCATTTAAACTGTAAACACCCAGTGTTTATAGTCCATATTTTTTTGGATACTGGAAACTTCTAGAAGTTGTTCAATAAATCTTTGTGGAATTTACAGTGGAAATAATCTTGGACTCTGGATTGAAAAGTGCCATTCTCCAACACTTAATCCTAGATATATAACTTTATGTTCTGATAACAGACTGTCTCTAACTAAAAATAAGGAGATTTCAGATAAAATGAGAATTGGATTTTTCCCAACTTCCATATGATTTCATGGCAATGCTATAGCTGCCCCAGTAGTGGGAAAAGTGCAAGCCAGAGCCTGGGGGCCCTAAATTTGAGTTCTGGCTCCACGATTCATTCTCTGTGTGACTCTGGGCAATAAATCAATCAAAAAGCATGTATTAAGTACTTATGAAGTACCAGGAACTATGCTAAATGCCGAGACACATATACAAAAATCAAATAGTTCTTGTCTTTGAGGAGCCTTTCTAATGGGGGAGACAACTTGTATTTATGTATGTATACATGTATGCACAATGCATATACACATATACCTGTATATACACATGCACATATATACACATGAACACAGGCATGTGTGTGGGCAATATATATAGAAGTTTGGGGAGGGAGGGTAGCAGTAGTACCAGTAGTATTAGGAAGGGCTTCATGTAAGAAGGTGATGGTAAAGCTGATTTTAGAAAGAATCAAAGGAATTAAAAGAGACAGAGTCAAGGAAGAACACCATTGAAGGCATGGAGAACAGCCAGTATAAAGGCAAGGAGACAGGGGCCAGAGCACTGAGTGCGAGGAATATCGAGGAAGCCAGCAGAGCCGCACCACGGAGCACACAGCATAATAAGGCTAGAATGGTAAGAAGGCGTTTAGTTGTGAAGAGCTTTAAATCACTGACAGGAGTTTATATTTGACCCTAGAAGTAGTATGGAACCATTGGAGTTATCGAGGGGCAGATGTCCACACTGGCACTTTAGAAAAATCACGTTGTTAGCTATGTGAAGAATGGAGTGGGCCAGCAGGGAGACTAAGTAGGAGGCTACTGCATTAGACCAACAAAGAAGTGATGGAGGTCTGTGCTGGGGTGTGGCTGTGTGAGTGTGTGGTGGAGGTACAGAAGACAAGTTTTGGCAAATGAGTGGATCCACGAGGTGAGGAAAGGTGAGATATCAAGGGTGACACAAAGCCAGGTGACTGGATGACCAGTCACAATAACAATAACAGGCCAGGATGATAACAGAGGAGTTCAGAAGAGTGGGAAGGTAGAGGAGCTCTCTCATGGACATGTTTAATTAAAGATGCCTGGAGGACATCCAATTCAAAACGTAGGCTATAAGGAAGGAGGTAATGTCACCCTGGAGCTCAGGAAAGAGTAAAGAGGCAACTCATAATCTTTCTAGGCCTCAACTTCCTCATCTGTAAAGTGGAGATAATGTTACTAGCACTACCTATTTCACAGGGTTAATCTAATATCTGTAGTTATAAATCACTATATAAATATAAATCTTCGGATTACTATTGAAGAGCATTTAAGATGAAAGATTTAATATACTTTTTAGGTATGTCTGGGACAGAGAAGTTCCTGCAATATGAAGGTACTAAAAATGCAGAGAGCTGGTTGTAATCACTATATCTTTACACATAAATGATTATAAATTTTCCTATTAAAATGGAAAGAGTATTACACGGGTAAAGTTAAGACTTGGATTGGGAAAGAAGCTATCTGTGCTTTTCCACTAGTTTTTTTTAATGCTCTAAGAAGGAAGTTCTAACTAATTTTGTTGGCTAGTCACAAACTGTGAGATTCTTATAAAAACAACATTGCATAGCTCTTCCTTCCTGGATGTGGACCAGATACCAGAGTAATTATCCATTCTTGCCACAAGATGGAACTCTCAGACACTTAACTCCACTTAAAGCAACTTTGTTCAGAGAAATCTAGTTGTGAACTCAGTTATAGCCCCTTGGATTGGCTGATGGATTACAACCTACTCTTGGATGGCATATCCCAGGGGCATGCCACTTCTCAACCAAACATTTTTAACAGTGTAGTATTACAAGGCAAGCCTGCAGTAGTGGAAAAAACATGGGATCTGGTGTCAAAAGACCTGCATTTACACCTCAGTTCTGCTATTCAATCATTTTGTGACCCTGGACAAATCACTTAAACTATTCCACAGTTTCCTCATTTGTGGAATGAGATGATTGGACAAGTTCATCTCTAGAGTTCCTTCTTAATGATACTAAATCATAAAAACCTTTATGAAATCATCAATTGAGCAAATATATAGAATTTGCCAAAATTTCTTTTAAGGACTCATCAAGAAGTATCCTCTCTTTCCAACATGTCTCTATTCTCAGTTTTCTGCTATTACCCACTAAATGTGAAGGCAAAATAACATCAAGCAAAGCAGGCCAAGCTTCAGGAAATTCCCTATACTCAAGGACTCTGACTCTGCTCCCTTGGCAGCTAGGTAGTAAAGTGGATAGCATGCTGGGCCTGGAGTCAGGAGGACCTGAGTTCAGATTTGACCTCATATACTTACTACCTGTATGACCCTGGGCAAGCCACTTAGTTTTCTCTGTTGTAAAATGGATATAATAACAGCACCTCAACAGGTTGGGTGAGGATCAAATGAATAAAGTCCTTAGCACAGTGCCTGACACATAGCAGGTGCTATATAAATGCTTATTTTCTTCCCTCTCCCACCTCATTACTCCTCAAATGCTTTTTCCTGATCTCTTCTTGTTTTTCTTCAGGTTGTTGAAACAGAAAACTGTTCATTAACCACGGATTGGCTTTTCTTTTTCTTTCAAGTAGAGCCCATGTCTTACATGAAGAAGATAGGTAGTTTTTTCCTGTTCTAATCACTAGCTCTAAGTGAGCAGTTCTTTATTTTATTTGGGGTACTTTCCTTCAACTAAGTATATCTTTATGGCTCAGGCTCTCTAATTTAAACTGTATGAAGACTATGGCTGATTCTTCTCTTTCCCTTTATCTACCTCAGCACTCTTTGGATCAGTACCCCTCTAGCTTGCTCAAAGCTCAATTCCTGCACATTCTCAATTTGCAAGGCACAAGTTTGCATGCATTCTGCTACCTTTGCTTCCCATACCTCTACCCGCCTTGGAAACATGCATTTCAATACCTTATGTTCCTAAGCTTGTGGGACTGGAGGGCTGAGAACCATAATGATTTCTCATGCATACAGATATATACATTTATAACAAACACCTGTTGAATAGTGCAATGTTTTAAAATAAATTTAACAAGGTTCCATCCACCCCCCCCCCCCAGAATGTAGCCTATATCTGGAACAGGATGAGCTCTTGGTCTCTAGTTCTTGGAACCTTTCTATACTTAACACAAAAGCATATCAATAAGTGATGTAAAAATTGGGAAAATTAGAAATGGTCAGAAAAAAAGAAATCCTAAGTTTTTCTTATACTCCTAATGCAGCCTAAATGCAAGAGTCACTGAAATTTTTTGAATAAGACAGTTAATATTTATCTGACTTCTTAAAGGATTTTCTCATGTGATAAACAGAGACTACTATATAACTGGTGATTATATAATTGTAGGCAACTAGATCACTGATAGAAAATGTTCATTACAACTCCATGTACCGGAGATGAACTGACTGTCTGCTAGTTAAAAGACAACTATCCCACTAACATTATCCCATCAATGAAATGTGCGAGTAAGACATTAGCTGATGGTGGAAAATGATGAAGTACAAAATAACCACTGACTTAGAGATATATGAGATAGGTGGTAAGAGTGTAGAAGAGAGGGGGTCACTGCAGTGAGTCAAACAAGTCCTTTCGTCTCCATATCACACTGAAATCACTAAAACATTCAGATAGGGCAAGAGCTGACTCTAGCTAGCTACTATTACACTTTAACAATTATACAATTTATTTCTAAGTCACGGGAAAATAGATGGCTTCCTAGAAAAATGGCAATGTTTCATTGGCTATCTGCTACGGTTAGCATCGTCCCTTCTATTTTAGAGCCAATGGTTGGATCAGCAGAGTCCTTAAAACCAGAAGATAAATTTAAAATCCAGGGTCGTGGAGTCAAAATAAAAGTGGTTACTCTATTTGAGAAGCAACACCATATTTTAGTTTCACATTAGCAAATATGCTTATATGCTCTGCATTTTAAATTCCCTACTTCTTAAGATTTCTGCTACAATTAATTATAAATATCATAAATGGCTAGCATGGTGCCTAGGGACATAAAGAGTAGGTGTTATGTGGACAAGTGATTAAAATGTCCAACAGGCCATTTACATAGTATATCCTGATTTACGATAAAATAACATGGCCTACTAATAATGCAATTTAACTGTTTTTATCTCTAGAGTGCTGAGCCTGAGCTCAAGGAGACTCATCTTACTGAGTTCAAATGTGGCCTCAGATATTTACTAACTGTGTGAAGCTGGGCAAGTCAGTTAACCCTGTTTGCCTTAGTTTCCTCATCTGTAAAATGATCTGGAGAAGGAAATGGCAAACCACTCCAGTATCTTTGCCAAGAAAACCCCAAATTCGGTCAGGAAGAGTTGGACATGACTGAAAAGACCGAACAACAACAAAAATCTCTAGAGAATGTTATGGTCTGTACTGCTCATTTTGGCAACTTTCAACACCTACCTGGATCTTCTTTCTATCTAACTCAGCTTGTTCTATCTCATATAAATCTAGTCTCACTTGCTCCATATCATCCTGCTGCTGCTGTATTTTTGCCAAGTGCTGGGCAATCTACGAAAAAAAAATAAAAAAAATATTGTTATAAGACTCAACACACATTTTATATAATTTTTCTAATTTTTAAAGCCAAGTATATAAATACCAAATTCTTGTACTGCTGCCTTTTTTCCTCAAGCTTTTGGGCTTGGGCCACCCGGTCTTCTTCTCTCTGCCGCTGCACAGTAGCAAACTCTAAGATTTTCCTGTTTTCTTCCTCCATTTCTTCACGCTTCTTCATTCTCCACAGAGCTTGCTCTTTTTTAAATTCTTCTATGTATCTGTGAGTTGCAGCCATTCTTTCTAATTGCTGCTGTCTTTCCCTAAAGAATGTACCCAAAAGGTTAATATTTCTAGTGACAAATATGATGGCTAAATATAAAATATGTTTTAAAAAAGTTTCTCTTTGACTTTTAATGAAATGTGAATTTCATTTGGTGAAATGGAAAAGAAGATCTTTGATTTCCCAAGTATCTCCATATTTGTAATTTATCTAAATCTACTGTGACAGACCAATATTTTGATGTTGGTAAAATGCTTCATACATTTGTACTCCAAAATCTACTCATGATGTGTCCTACTCGTTTCAGAAAACAGAAGCCACCATCCCTTCTTGACTGAACTACAGAGTAAGGTTACCTGTCAAAAAAATTCACTGACCCAAAATGACCCAAAATTGAGGTGGCGATAATTTCAAAAGTAACTCAATTATACAATAAAAATAAATAAACCCTGAGTCGATCACAAAGGTGCAGAGTGTTACATAGAAAAGGCTGGCTACACTCACATTTGGTCTTCTTCGTAGACCTTTCTAACAATTTCATCTACCATGAGTTTCTCTCGTAATAATTCTTCGTAAGCTTCTTGCTTCTTTCTCTCTTGATCTTCAAGCTGTTGCTCCAAGTCCCGCTGGTACTGGATTTTCTCTTTGTGATGTCTAACTTCTGCTTCGTTCTGTTCTTTCGTGTATCTCTCATGTTCTTCCTTCATACATCTGGCTATTTCAGAATCACGTTTCTATCATGGAAAAATGGGTTATTTCATGTTCCCACTTTCTAGTCCAAACATAACTTAAGGAATAACCATCTTAAAATGTACCGTAACCTTTTACAATTTAACTTTCTGGAATGAAGAAATTTTATCTTTATAGGTAAAGAGGGAAAAATACATACTGTGGTGTTTTTATCCTGAAAATGTATTTGGTTCACTATGATCAAGGTCCATACATACCAAGAATCAAAGAAGAATTCAGTGCTAAGGGAAACAACATAATTAATCATATGAAAAACAAAACTACCCAAAACTGTGTTTATTATTAATAAAGCCAGAAAAAAGGTTTGGAGATGCAGGAAAAGTCATTAAGAGGGCTTTTCAGTTTTTTCAAGATGCCTTTACACCTTTACCACTACTAGGTCTGTAATCCCAAAAAGATAAAAGGAGAAGGATCTATATGTACAAAATAAAAATATTTATAGCAACTCTTTTCATGGTGTCTTTTTTCATCAGTCCCAGGATCACATTCCACAAGTAGAAAAGTTAAAGACCTTTGTACAGTAGGGTTTTTTAAAATATATTTTAAGTTACAAAAATGTAAATGTCACTATTTACAGCTAGTGTTTTTAGGTTATAATCCAGGCTCAAAGGGATTGCAAATATCTTCATATGTAAGGATCATGTAGGAATCACTCAGGGTTATATCCTGTCTTTTTGTTATCAGGGAGTATACAAAACTTTTCAAACTTTCCACATTTAATCTATTTATTCCTGAAGGAATAAGATAGGTTGGAGTGTTCAAATTCACCTCCCTTAGGATCCATTAAAACAAACAAACAAAAACTGAGTTTGATTTCAGGAGAGAAAAAACTCAACCTTCAGGTCAATGAAATAATTAGAATGCAAGTATTAGTACACTGAGGGTAGGGACTGTTTTTCCTTTTTTTTTTTTTAATGAAGTTGGGCATCTTGAGAATTGCAGTTTTTTCATCTCAGCTCTGGACAAAATGGAGGAAAAACACACAAGATTTGAGATCAAGGTATGAGACACTTGCAGTTTGGAGATGGAGTGGCACAGGTGGAGGACAGAGGTAACGAGATTTATGCTGATCTTCCACTGCTACATTGTTTGTTTTGTTTTTCATTAGGCTTGATTTGCTTAGATAAAAAGAGCTCCATCTCTATGGTCGTGCTAAGTATGATTTTATATGCGACCCAAGTGTGCATGGAGGGGACAGTTTTGAAGGGGTTTCATATTTCATCTACTCTTTGTGGCTTGGAAGGTTACAAGACCTCCCCAGGGTCTATTGAGCATAGTTTGGTTTTAAGAATGCTCCTAGAACTCTCCCAAAAAGAACCCTAAAACAACTGGGGCTCACCAGAATTTCTCAGAAGAATGAGCTGGTTGGAACCCTGGTGCCCCTCAGGTAAGGGTGTGAGTACAGAGCCAGGTGACCAAACTATGACCCCTTTAGCCAAAGGGAGGGGGAACTGGGAGGAATTAGAAGAGGAAGCCCCATATTTAAGACCGCTCAGAGGTCTTAAATCAGCCCCCTGATCCTCTGATCAGGGGGCTTTCCATCCTGACCTGTTCTGGTTGGGAGGGGGAAGTGAAAGAGGGATGTTTTACCACGGATTGATTGATCTTTGCTGATTCATGGATTGTGAAAGTCATTTTGTGGTATGACTCCAGGCTCTATTGGTCACTGTATGCCTTGGAGCATTTTCTAAGGAGTTCTGATCCCCACAGCCAGAGAATCACAGTGCGGAAGGGAGTTCGGCTGCTGACAAAGATAAATACTTTCCACTTTCCGAAAATAGGAAGTCAAGGTTTTTCCATTATGGAAAATAAGATAAAGAAAGGATTTCAGGAGAATCTTCCCCTCTCTTCCCCAATTCTTACAAAGAAATTCCAAAACATTTAATATAAATTTAGCAAAGTTTAGCCCTTTTTATTTTATTCTTTTAAATCTAGAGGGTTGGGAATTCCCACTCTCCCCTCCAAAGACAGAACTGCAATCAGTTAAATAAGTTACGCTAATAATTTGCTTCTCGGTATTTCAGTAAACACTGAAGTCATATTTTCTCAATTACAGGCAAACTAAATTGCATTTTACCTCTAGGAGAGCATAACAATGGCATAAGATTAAATGATACTTTTAAAAGTTTTCTGAGTTTCCCTAGAGTCCCTTTAAGATAAAATTGCCTCAAGACGGGGAAAATGTTTTCTTAGTAATTGCTACAATTTCCTTTTACACATTTGTGTTACAAGGGAGATTACATTTAATCCATTTTTACTGAAAGTTTCTTTTTTCCCCCAGCTAAGGATTTGCTTTTATGGGAGTCTTTTTGGTTGGTTTGCATTCAGCCCCATTAGGATCCACTAAAATAAGCAAAAAACTGAATTCGATTTAGGGAAAAATCCTCCTACCACAAAAAACAAGAAAAACAAAAAACTTTATGGCATTGTGGAATGAAGCTGTCCTCATCTCTCAAAAAATACAAGTAAGGTAATAGAGAAGCTTTTGCAAATGCAAAAATAAAACTACATGTAGAGCTAGTAAACTGGCCTCTAAAGATTCTCTAGAGGTTCAGAAGTGAAATTTCTTTTCTTCCCTTTTTTAAAAGAGTAGTCTCTCTACCTTGTCCAAGGTTAGAAGTACCAATGCCACTCACCACCCTCACTGACTGGCTCTGGGGCTTTGACCTGTTCCACTTCCCACCTGGGCCATTTGCCTTTCCTCAAGCAACCTGATGGTCTCCTGCTCCCAGGGGCTAACCACATGGATGCCACACTGTGGGCCATTGCCATCTGCATTTCAGAGCTTCTCAGCTCCATTCTTGCAGGAAGCTGGGAATCACAGAGCTTGTGCCACTACACCGGGTGGGTAAAATTTAAGACACTGTTCTCTCTCTATGAGAAATCTCAAAAAAAAAAACCCCAACAACAACAACAACAAAACCCAGAGGAAAATAAAGCTCAGCTTCTAAAGTAAATTTTGAGTTTTGAAAGTAAAAGCAGAAAATCTATCTTCCTATACAGAAAGATTTTTTTTTTTTGTTTTAACTTAGTGAACTCAGAATTTAAAAGGTCAATGATCTTGAACTCAGAGCTTTCCCATTGATCACAACATCTTTGGCTTCTCTTTCATATCCTTGTATAATTTCAAAACCTACTCTTCACCTTCCTATGACCTCCAGGACTTCTTCCCATCCCCATTGTGCAGCTCCCACCCACTTCAACACTCTTGGGTCCAACCAAATGAGGTTTCTTGCTGTTCATCAAATGCCAGACTCTATTCCCCATGCCCAGAATGTCCTCTTTACTCACGTGCACACTGCAGAGTGCTTTACTTCCTTCAAGACTGGGCTTAAGATCTACTTTCTCAAGGAAGCCTTTCCTAATTCTCCTGATATCTAGAGTTTTGTCAACCCTTTCTAAGTATAATACAGTTCCTCATTCCTATGTGAAAAATAGTCATGGCCCCAAAATATAAATCTCATTCTCAGAGACCATTCTTAGCCAGCTATCCACTTCTCAGATCTGCCTCTCTTTTATGAATCCCTTAACTTCAATAAGCAGGAGTAAATAAAAATGCTGCTTGTGCAACTGAGGTCTTCAGGTCCCTCCCCTCCAAGTACTTCCTACTCCTTAGCAGTATTTTCTAGGTTTCTCCTGATGGCATCATTTGAATCACTAAAAGTAGGTAGAGGTTGTCAGGTTTGACAAGTCTCAGGGATTTTCCATAACATCCCAAATACATATCCTGAGAAGAAAGTAGACTTCTATGATGTTTATGTCAAGTTGACAAACAGCACTCCTTTATACAACTCAATGAAAATTTTATCCTTTGAGAACTAAATGAAATGACAAGAGGAACTGGGATTCTAAATTTTTGGTGAGCAGATTGTAAAGCGTCCCAGAGAAAGGAAAAGTAATATCCAATGGCTTAATATTTTGAAAAGGAAATGGTCCCAAGAAAGATCAAAAATAGAATTCTGAAGACAAAAAGACGGGAAGGAAAAGGTGGAGCTGCTTGAAGGGAACAACATGGAAGAGTAAAGGGAATTCATCAAATGTAAAAAAGACACATGTAGAAAATGGAAACAAGGGCAAATAAAAAAAAAATAAACAACTAATAGTAGCACTATCCTGTAAGAATCATATCAAAGCCTAAGAAGAACCAAGGCTGGTAATAAATTCAGAGGGCAACAGATAAGTTTTTTTTTTTTAAACTCATGATGGGGAAGATAATCAAAGAAAGGACAGGACCACTGTTGAAGACGGAATGATGATAATGGGTAATAGGGAAAAAAAGTTAAACTATTCCATTCTTACTTTGCTTCTGTTTTCTTTCTAAGGACAGTCTCTAGACTAAGAAGGATAGAACAAAAAAGGTTATCAGGAAACAGAAACACAAGACCTGTGAAAAAAGAACATTGTCCTGAATGAGTTCAAGTCCCAGACCCAGATGAACTATATCCTAGCATATTAAAAGAACTGGCAGATGGGATTGTGGAGCCATTGTCAATGATCTCAGTAAAAGCCTGAATAACAGAAGAAAAGGCAAATTCTTATTTTTTTTAAAAAAGGGAAGAGAGTGTAGTCTACAAATCACAGATGGGTATGCTTGATTTCTATAACTGGAAAAAAATTAGAACATATTATCATGAAGAGAGTTTGTAAGCACTTAGTGCTCACTAAAAGCCAGCTTTATTTCATCAAGAGGAGATAATGCCAGACTAAGCTAATTTCCTTTTTTGAAAGGGTTACTCTACTAGGAAAACTGCATAGTGCTTTTAATGACCCAAAGCTTCTCCTTGAAACAGAAGCCCAATATTTAAAACATCAGTAGTGTTCTCCTGATGCTAAATTCTTTCAAGTAATATGATACTACAATCTCTGAAGAATTAAAGTGTAGGCTCACTCAAAGGTATAATGGAAATGGAAAGGCATATGGTATGTGTGAATACATTAGGATCTAAGTAGACTTAAAGATGTAAGAGACCTTAGAGGTCAACTA